GGATCCCATATACACATAGGATAATCAAAATTCCCAGTCAAAGATATGCTTTTGTCTTTCATTAGTGTGGTGTGGGACACTGCCCAATTAAGAGAATAGTACAAAAGCTGAATCATTTATTTAAGAAATTCAACACTTTACACCACAAGGCTACAGGATATAATTTATTTGGATATGACCACCAGTCCATAAATTGACAGTGAAGAAAATTCTTGAACACTGAGATTGGCAGAAAAAGTAATATTTAATTCGAATTTCATTTAAAGTGAAATGACCCTTACTCTTAAATTAGACACGAAAATAATGAATAAAATATTTTAAAGAAGTCGAGATTCCTAATTTTTCTTCATGCAAGCACGGAGATCAAAGCAAAATAACACGCTAAGGAAATCCAACAATTTTAATTCAGACTTTAAATAGAAGCATAATTTAAAAATATTCATGTAACAAATAATCACAAACGATAAATCAGTTTTTAAAAATAAATGACTATGACAAGAAATAAAATTACTCGTTGAAATCAAGATTTTCATCAGCAAAAGCAAATGACTATGACAAGAAATAAAATTACTCGTTGAAATCAAGATTTTCACCAGCAAAAGCAGGCACAACCACACCATCGAACCATCACGCTCCGACACGACCCGATCTAACCTGTAAGGTGTAGGAAAAGGGTGAGTACATGGGAATACTCAGTAGGATATCATATTTCAATGGTGCAATCCCGAATAATAATTTTAAGACATGTGTCAGAATATCATACCGTCGCATAACTTTAAAATCCGGTAAGAGCTCACATCATAACATTTCATTTCATTTCATTGTACCGGAGTGGCCATATCATTCAATCATACATTGATAACATAACTTTACTTTCATAAGTATAAAATTCATCAACATGTAAAAAAAATAATAATTAAACGGGACATTAAAAAAAATACTGCACCTCATATCCTACCTTATTAAACTGCTTTAATTTTGGAAGTTAAAACAAAATCACGTTCCCTTCTTTTCTTTTCTTTTCTTTTTCTACCTCTTCTATCACTGTAAGCAATGCACTTATATTTTTGTGTGTCTATTTCGTGTGGTGCATTCCATATACATATGCAGTAACTTCTATGGGATAACGTGTGAGAGATATAGGGAGATAGTGGATGATTGGATAAAGTGGAGAGAACTGTATTTGAAACAAAATGGGAGACTAAGTCTTATCAATAACCAACCACTCAGGGGCAACTTCCACACGTGGCGTCTTCTCAAACGAATTGAAAAGGGAAATATTAATAAAGCTGCTTCTCTCTCTCACGTGGTTGCCATATCTTTTTATATCTCTCTCTTCAATATTTTTTTTAATTATTAGTTAACCAATTAAATCGTACCAAATTCTTCCACGTGAATCTTCCAACACAATGCATACTCAAATAAAATAATAATAAAAATAATCATAACAATATTTTAAGTCTAAATCTTTCGATCTCAATAATTTAAGCTCCATTAATCTAAATCCACTTTTTCTCGAGCCTAACATGCATGATTAAATACGAGCTTTCCAACGAGACCAATTTTCATATACTTATTGTCGCTCCGTCAACATCTACATTTTAACCCGAATAAAATTTAATTTTTACTTTGTATATATTTTAGTCCCTAAAATATTAAAATTTAGCATGCATAAAACAAATTTTATTCTATGAAATTTTGGGTTACTACAATAACTCTCTACATTTTGGAACGTTAGTGATAATTTTGAATGAACTTGTAGCTTTCTCGTGACGTATGATGGATTTTGGCACTTTGAATTCGTGTGGAAGAACAGGCGCTTGCGTACGTGGAACACTTGGATTGTCAAAGAAATTGACATAACTTTAGGATACGGCGTACATTTTTGTTCCCATAACGCCATTTTAGAAAGCTAATGATGATTCTAAATGAATGATTAGCTTCATCGTGACATAAGATAGATTTTACCAGTTTGAATTCTTGTGGAAGGACAGGCGCTTGCCTACATGGAACACTTTTGCATACGATGTCCGTTTTGGGCCCATAACTCCCCACATTTCAAAAAGCTCACGACGATTCTGAATGAACTCCTAGCTTCACCAAGACGTATGATGGATTTTGGCAGTTCGAATTCATATGGAAGGATAGGTGCTTGCGTACATAGAATGCCTGGATTGTCGGCGTTCGAAGAAATTGGCATAACTTTCGCATACGGTGTTCGTTTGGGACCCAAACCCCCATTTCGAGAAGCTAACGATGATTCCAAATGAACAAATAGATTTTGGCCGTCTAAATTTGTGTGGAAGAATAGGCGCTTACGTACATGGAATGCTTGGATTGTCGACGTTCGAAGAAGTTGGTATAACTTTCGCATATGGTGTCCGTCTTGGGCCCATAACTCCCCACATTTCGAAAAGCTCACGACGATACTGAATAAACACGCAGCTTTACCAAGACGTATAATGGATTTTAGCAGTTTGAATTTGTGTGGAAGTACAGGCGCTTGCGTACACGGAACACTTAGATTGTCGATGTTCAAAGAAATTTCCATAACTTTCTCATACGGTGTCCATTTTGGGCAACTAACTTTCCACACTTCAGAAAGCTCACAATGATTCTGAATGAACTCGTGACTTCACTGTGACGTACGATGGATTTTGGCAGTTTAAATTCATGTGGAATAGCAAGCGCCTGTGTACACAGAGCGCTTGGATTGTCGATATTCGAAGAAATTGGCATAACTTTCTCATACGATGTCCATTTTGGGCCCATAACTCACCACATTTCAAAAAGCTCGCGGCAATTTTGAATGAACTCGTAGCTTCGCCGTGACGTATGATGGATTTTGGCACTTTGAATTTGTGTGGAAGAACAGGCGCTTGCGTACATGTAACGCTTAAATTGTGGATGTTCGAAGAAATTGGCATAACTTTTAATAGGGTATCCATTTTGGACACAAAACCCCATTTCGGAAGGGTTAGGATGATTCTGAATGAACAAACAGCTTTGCCATGACGTATGACGAATTTTGGCAATTTGAATCCATGTGGAAGAACTGGCGCTTGCATACATGGAACGCTTATATTGTCGATGTTCGTAGAAATTGGCGTAACTTTCACATACGGTGTTCGTTTTGGGCCCATAATGCCATTTTGAAAAGCTAACGGTGATTCTAAATGAATAAATAGCTTCACAGAGACTTATGATAGATTTTGGCAGTTTGAATTCATGTGGAAGAATAGGCGCTTGCGTACATGGAATGCTTGGTTTGTCGACCTTCGAAGAAATTGGTATAACTTTCGCATACGGTGTCCATCTTGGGCCCATGATTCCCCACATTTCGAAAAGCTCA